TTCCTACAGTATCAAACGTGATAATAAATGAAAAATTTGAATATCATAAAAAATAAGAATGACAGACAAGAAAAAAGCTTGTAATAGGAATTCAAAAGAAATGCCGTCAAAAGTAAAAGATGAAACGTACAATTCGGTACATGATACAGCTGCATTTTTATTTTAACTCGGGGAAATTTTCCCCATCAATTCCCAACAGCGATGAGGTGAAATAAAGCGCGTGCACACAGGGATGCTCACAAAGACTGACTCAAAACCCCTTAGAGATCACACAGACGAGCGACAGAATATCGGCGGCTGTCGCCGACTTAAGTCGCAAGCAGTCGTCGATAATTGCCGATGGCAGATAATTCAAATAAGACGACCGACTATAAAATGCTACTCCGACAAACGTTACTTCGACACTACTTTAAGGAATTACGCCTTTTTCTGAGTAGTGTAGTGTCGAAGTAAAGTCATGTCGATATTTAGTAGTGTCGGAGTAACGTAATGTCGAAGTAACGTTTGTTGGAGTAGCATTTTATAGCCAAGACGACGGTGGCCGACGCATCGTGACTCTCGAAGACAGTGAAAGCCACGAGTCGGAGATTGTCGCCGACAGTCGCTGACATAATGTCGCTCGTCTGAGAGCTCTCTAAAAGAGCTCACACTGTCGCTCGTCTGTGAGCTCCCTTAGAGGTGCGAATGTTATCCGTTTTGAGGACGATAAATCAGTTTAGCCTTCAGTATTATTAAGCGTATATTCCGGCGTAGGAATGTGGAAGGAATAAAATATGGATGGATAAGACATTTTTTATTTTTTGTCCCTGTCGTTGAGTCATGTAGAACCCTGTCTGCCAAAAGGGCAGAGCTACTTGATAAAATTAAAAATTTACACTATAGTAGCAGTAGGTTCACTGAACAATGAACCATTGTAATTTGCACCTTACTTACTACCTTACTTTGGAAAGGTCACTAGTAAATAAAATTAGGTAATTTGCAAAATAACATTATGAGGCATAATAATATGGGCATCGTATATGAGTCGATCTTACTACGTCGAATATTCCAAAGCCAACATATTTTGATAAGAAAATAAATCAGCAGAAGGCAAGTGAAACGACTTACGCCCAGAACAGACGGTGAAACGCAACTGCAACTTTGTGATGATTCTGATGAATGAAACTGAAACTGAAAGTTTCAAACTGGTCGCGTCATGTGTGTTCTCTCAACGGACGCTATGGCAGAAACTTAGATGCAACTCAAAAGTAACTAGCAGTTGCAGTTTCATTGCAGTTGCGTTTCACCGTCTGTTCTGGGCCTTATGAGAGAATGAAGACAAGTGTTTCTTTAGTCTGGAACTCGAGTTAGTGAGCAAAAGTACAAATCAATACTGTCACATAATAATTTATTACACAAATTCCTCTATCCTCTTTACCACCGTAAGTTATTCTACCGCGTCCAACAATTCCTACCTTCTACACATCCCCTTCGGCAAGTCACGGCAATCGGCCCCCTTTCAAGCAAAATCATCTTACAATGAAGGGGAAAATTTTGTAAATTACACCCTTCATGACACCCCATTACGTTCTCTCAAAAAGTTATGATTTTTCCGCAGCACGAAACACTGGGCCTGGGCAATGGTATTATGAGATAGGAAGGGTCAATTCTAATTAAAGTAGATATTTTAAGCCCCACCATCCCAACTTATCCAGCCAGTGTGGGGAATGTAGCGTGTTGTTTTCAGTGTATTGGGCAAGATCGTGCTCCTGATAAAAAAAGCTAAATAAACTGATGATGATAGTGATGTTGTTCATCCTGAACCCTGTAGATAAGCAAGCAAAAGTAGTTTTAAAAAAATATATATGTATAGAAAAAAAAATCCCCAAAACAGATTTCATTAATAATTTCCATATCAATTTTTCAATAACATGTTTAAAATTCAATCTCAATCTACATAGAGTAAGAACTTTTTTATTCAGAAATCTGGTGAGCCTGTCTTTAAAAAAAATTTCCATATAACATTTTAAACTTTCGCGTTCCATTTCAATGAAAATAAACATTAATAAACGTCGCGTTAAGACCCGTGTCTTACTATTTTAATAATTTCCATGCCTCAAAATAAAGGTTTTTAGAAATCTTCATGATAGATCCTATAATTGCTAAATAGGTACCAAATCCTAAATAAACCGTTACATCGATACAGCCACTGGATCAGTATGCGAGACATGACGTACATTCATTAGTTCTGATGAGGGGCGGTAACTCTGTTAAAGGCACGTGGAACCCTTCTGGTTAGGGATTTGATATGTTAGAGATATCTGTCAATTCTGTAATGTGGGTAGACAGAGATACTTATAATACCCAATAAAGGGTATTAGGTACTGAAAATCTATCGCCAATTTAACGTAATAAGCCGATTGATGTTTAAAGCTGGTGGATTAAGGTCCACATTTTGATATGCTCAAATTTTAATGTCAATTTATAATTCTTGATTCCGTAACAATAATCATGCAATATTGTAACCTGTATTTGCTTGTATTTTAATATCTAGACAAAAACTGAGATGTCCTTGATATTGATGTATCAGGGAAAAGTGTCCCTACTATTATAGTCTAACGAGAACAGTTACTGATAAACATACCTATATCGCTATGATAAGGTTTGTCTATTAAGTGGCTTTTTCAGGCTGGCTATGTTAAAACTTTCCATATTATGTCTTTATTCTCTAAGGTATGATTTTTTAATAATAATAATGTTCTTGTTTTTAAGAGCCAAACTATTTGGAAAGTTTTCGTGTAGAATTTTAAAAAGAACGTCGCAAAGAAACTAAAACGCAGATAAAATGATGATTTTGCCACTTTCAAAAAACACACTTTTACAATACCTACACAAGTACACATACAAAGCCTCAGAGGTCAATATGTCTCTGCTAAACCATCCTCCCATAACACATGGAAATTCCACCCATTAAAAGCCATCGCTCAATTACACATACCATACCTAAAATCTGAATCACGCATTCCCTTTATCCAACCCTTCTGATAGGAAACAAAATATTGTCCCCTACCCTTTGAATATTAAACGATCCCCTATTTAGTGGTGTCTAAATTATGCACGTCTCTTCATATTGACCGGCTGAATAGTAAATGTATTAGGAACCAATTTACGCTGGCCTCCCACCCGCGTTAAAGTTTGCCATGTTTGATGGTAGGAGGTTGTTAGACGAAAACATAGGTGTGAAAATTGTGAGCGATACGCTGATATTTTTGATTATAAAATAAATCTGGATGATGTCAAGGGAATGGAGTATGTTAATAATAGTGTGGCTGAAAAAGTAGATGACTTGATGTAAGATGAAAATATCGTGGAAGAGCAAAAAACACTTCGTAAACCGCAAGCAGTTTTAGGATTCGAGAATAAGGAACAAAATATAAATAAATAAAACTGTTTAAATTAAAAAAATGGTGATACATTCAAAATCGTAATTTGTGCCCAATTACAATAATACAGCCCATAATTATGTAGAGGTTATTCAGTCGACAGCACATCAGGCTATACTTTTTAATTTAAAATAGCTCATAATAACAACGATACAACACAGTGTTTTACTTCATGTGCCATCCTATGTTCTTCAGATTTATTTCGACTTTCCCTGAGACAAACTTGACCTTTACTGGTTGGGTTTTTATTGGTGGCCAAGCTGTAAATCCACAGGCGTTGCAGCGGTAGAAACGAGGGGTAGGAATAGTCTAGTTCATGTGCCCTCGTATTTTTCTTCTTCTTCTTCTTCTTTTCAGCCAAATGACGTCCACTGCTGGACAAAGGCCTCCCCCAAGGTTTTCCACAATGAACGTTTTCCAGAATTGCTAAAATCAAGTGGCAGTGGGCGGGGCACATAGCTCGTAGAGACGATGGCCGTTGGGGCAGAAAAGTTCTCGAGTGGCGACCACGGGCTGGAAGACGTAGCGTGGGCAGGCCTCCTACTAGGTGGACCGACGATCTGGTAAAGGTCGCGGGAAGAGCCTCGTATTTTTATTACAGCAGAATAGCACCCAAAATCAACCCCTATGTTTTCATCCCACAAGAGGTCACAAGGCCTGGTCGATGTGTAATGAACTCGGAAGCTGTTGACAAATCTGGGGTCCCTTCAACGATATTGTTGCATGTGTAATATTGGGGCAACATAATTAGTTTGCTCGCAAATGTTGCTACAGTGGTTGTTGCCAAACACGGCCAAGAATACGTAATGATAAAGGATCATGTACCACAATATAGTGACTTGACTAAGCAGAGACTGCAAAGTATTAGAAACTTCTTACATCAGAGCACAGGGCTTATGCCAATCGTAGTTTGCTCATTTTTGGTGGTCCACCAAAGGCTGCGGCTACTGATTTATCAAACATCTATTCCAACTACTCATGGAAAAATGGTTACAGCTCATGCACACTATTTTTCAGACATTGCTAACTCGTTTTTTCTATTCATTCAGCTGTGTTGGTTTGATAGTTACATGGATTGCTATACTCGTAATAAGCGTTTCAATTGCAAGATGCTGCGGTGAAAAAACGCGATATTTTATATTGTACATTATCCTCGTACATAAGTTATCCGATCACCGTGGTTCCAAATTCCGCTTAGTTTGCCAGAAAACACCCAACTTTAAAACTTCAAAATCGCTTTCCCCTAAAAGGCTCTCCGTAATTTATGACGTCACTATGACGTCATTGGGAGTCGACAACAGACGGGAAGGCGCGAGTAATGTGACGTAATCAGATTGGGCTTACGGCGTGTCGTCAATGGACGCTGATTGAGTCAGTAACAACGTTACCGGCAGAGACTGATGAACTTTGCTGTTTTGGCGTCTTTGAGCTATAAGAGATAGCGAGAAAAGCCTTATTCTTAACTGGTAGTAAAACTCCGCTCAGAAAAAACAGTAAAAGATTTCAATATTCATCTTTGAAATGTAACTTAACACCAGGTGCGATTTATTTATTTATTTATTTATTTATATAATTCACTGTGGACTTACAGTTTTACCCAAGACGTCCATCAGCGGCAGAAGTACAGAATACACAATTTACATAAATAGGTGCTTAAATACTATGCGACAGAAAATTGTATACCTCCAAAATATACTGAGCCATACTGTCAACAAACACGTCGATATGAGGTTTTTTNTCTTATGTAGAGGTTTTAAAGAGATTCATGATAGAAATAAACAAAATAAAATCCTTTGTTTAAAGAAAAGTAACATTTTTTTTTTTGTATAGGAACATACGATATCAGTTCAAACGCTTTTATTTAAATATGGTTTTAAACTTTCCATAACCACTTTTATCAAATCTTCTTTTCTCTTCGGAAATCCTTTTTTGCTACTGATTTTTATTTTATCCAGTCAACAAAAAGCTGTTCTTCCTCGTCAGTTAAAACTGTGAACGGACCGGTCTTAGAGCGATGATCAGGAAGTTTCAATCTGAATTATAGTAGACCGTGGCACCACTTTCAAAGCCTTTCACAGGCTTATTCCACTAATCCCCGTCAACGGGGATTAGTGAACTTTTTATTCATTAATCCCCGCTAACGTCAATGGAGCTTATAATGGGGATTAATTAACTAAAAAGTTCATTAATCCCTATTACTTTATTTTATTTTTCTTTATTCAGAAAACTACGTTAAAAAATAAAATACTAATGTAAGAATCATGTACCTTCTATTTATTATTGGATAACAACTCACTTATTGATTATTTTAATAATCAATAATGGCTAAGCAGATACATAATTTAAGGTCCCATTATTTGTATTGTATTGCTGTTGGTTTTCCGAATAAAATAAAATAAAAATAAATAAAATAAATAAATCAAATTAAATTAAATTTAAGCCTGATTACAAAGCTATTAATTTACACCATTTTTATCTTGTTACATTTTGGGCCAAATTTGTATGTAATCGTTTCCATCTTCTTTTAAATGATGAATGAGGAATAACGATTCAATATCCATAGTGCTTTTGGTTAATCAGGTAAGTGTTAATTTTTTTAAAGTATTGTAATCCGTCTTAAATTTAATTTAATTTGATAATAAAAATAATAAGTGAGTTCTTATCCAATAATAATTATGTATAGGAGCTTGGGGTTTTTTCGCGAGAAGCGCATTTAATGACGTCAGTGCTCTAATTGTAGGGCAGTTTTGTGCATTGCGGGTGCGCGTCACGGGCACGTTGAATAGCCTAGGGCGTCTCCGCGGAGCCACCAGGCCTCTGTCAGTGTCCACACACAGCTTTGGGACCGATATACCTATCCTGCTAAGAGCATCCGGGCTATCAATTTTTCCTCGCATAATCAGGGTATAATGTTTCACGAGTAGAAGTTTCCTTCGCAGCTCTAATGTGTCCATGCCTACCATACCAGCTATGAAACGAGACGGATATAATAGGGGGTAGTAGCCGTACTGGCGCTTGTACATAAACCTAGAAAATTTCTTTTGAATTTTCTCAACCATGAGAACGTACTTCTTTTCGGGACTATCCCATACAATTGCTCCGAATTCTAATTGACTCCGCACGTAGGCATTGTAGAGNCGATTGTGGTCAAACGAACATAGAAATGATGCAATCATCTTACTGTGTGGTGTCGTCACAGTGGAATTCACTCCCTCTTTTCCCGCAGTACAAGAAGTAGGTACCCTACCCGTGGTAGTAAAAGGTGATTATACATACCGTGGGAGCTTCAGTCCTCCAAAACCCAAAAATAATGGTAAATTAAAGAGGGCTATAGTTCATGCACCTGTAACGTCCCTAAGACTGCAGTCACTTATCATCAGATGATCCGTTTGCTCGTTTGCCTCCTGTAACAAAAAAAAAATGTAGTGAAGACTACGTAGTCTGATGATGATGATGATGTTGATGATGATGATGTTGATGATGATGATGTTGATGATGATGATGTTGTTGATGATGATGATGATGATAGTTCCTGCATTGGAAAATAAACGATGGAAAAGCTTTAGCTAACCCATTCACTTGTCCCACACACCAACGCCCGATGGCTCAAACGACAGCGTCTGGAAAGTACGAACAAAGGTGAGTGTTAGAGGAACAGTTGCTACAATGATTTTATTACAACGCTAAATATATTACTCGATAGTGCTTGCTTAATTAATAACAATATTGAGCTTGAGCATGCGACGGTATATTCTAGCTATAAAGTTTACTGTCTGTAGCGCGCGTGGGTTTTGGAGAACTGCTGAAGAAATTTTCTTAGATTTTTCTAACAAAATAACACACAGTTTTGTTTGAAGAGTCGATGCACACTTTCCTGGTGGATGGTGAATTGAGTTCAATTCAATTAGAGTGCTGCAGATATCGAATATATCGAATATCGAACCCACAACGATTGTAGTTGGTAACTATCTGAAGCAGTGATGGCTAATTACATTTCACATTTTGTACTTTTATGGTTCCCCTCGATTCGAAAGGCCAGGGCTTAATTCTCAAGCAGGACATAGAAATTCTAATTGTTATCATTTAGTTGCCTCAATCGACTTATATCCGATAAAAAATATTTCTAAGTTAACGATCCGAATGTAAACATTTCAGCCACATCAGACATCTTTTTATCCCTAAATTAAGGGTAATATCACTTTTACCAATAAGATGGGAGAATCCGTTCAATGTTCCCCAAAAATCGATAAACAAAGCCTTTAAAATATACGTTTACTTACGTCTGAGTACAAACCACAACACCACCGAAATGTAGAGAAAACAAAATATCTGAACCCCTGAACAAACTGGGAGGCGACAAGCCGGGGCTTTAAGAAGGATTTGGGGCAATAAAAATAAAATAAATGCCCCGAACCATATTGCATTACGGTTTTTGGCAGGCATAGGCAATATAAGGGGAGATACGCATAGTGAGTTTTGAATTTAAACGCTTTTTTATCGTGATATGGATCGAAATTTGGGAAACTTGAACACAAAGCGAATTTCTTTCTTTTCTAGCGTCTTAATTTTTTCTTTTGTGTTAAATTTTTCTGATATGTTTGGAATATTTCTGAAATAGCGCATTAGCAAATACTTGACAGTCTAGACTCTAGGGTAGCACATTATCCATGGTTTTTTATAGTATGCCATAACTAGATGACTGCAACTTTGTTCATATTTTAGGCTACCGTTTTCTGTCAAGTTCGGTTCGAGCTACTCGATTGAAGCTAAGTTCGATCGCAGTTGTTATTCTTAGGAAGTACCTAACATTATAACAATCAATTTACCTTTCTTTTCTTTTTAAATAAATAGTGCAAATGTACCTACTTCATAACTTAAGACTGCTATTGTTACTGCTATTATTTTGTTCAAATTACGGGTATTAAAATGTTTGTCTTTATTTTCGCCACCCCCTCACCACCTGTCAATTCCCTGCATTTTTCCGCAAACTTCTCAAGTTTAAGAACCCTGAGAGCGCCGCGGCTGCACCCGCTCGCGGTGTAATTATTATTTAAATTTAATTATTCCTCTGCTAATTGCCGCAAGTTTAAGCTGATTACGGAGCGCCTGGGGACTCGCGGTTGGGCAAAGAAGCAACGCTTCTGAGAGGGTATCTAGTCTTTGGCGATCGGGTATTATGTGATGCACACTCTTATTTATTTTATGTAAAAAACTAGCGGGTGGAGTTCGTAATATCCATTCGTAGCGTATGCCTATTTTACCAATTCTTTTTTTAAATATTCCTTGAAGTCCTAGGATGGTTTTTACGGCAAGAAAAAAACGAATAATTTCCGGGAAAACCCTAAAAACAGCCCTTTTTTCCCATACAAAAGTTTTAAAACTAAAACGTTAAGTCTATTTGAACTATATTGTTATTCCATGCAATGAACACATTCCAAATATTTTTGACAGAAGGAAGTCTGTTGAGTCCGCTAGTTTGAGATAAAAATGCTTAGCTAACAATTTCCATGCCTCATTTTAAAAATAACTAATACTTTTCTGTGTTTCTATCACGCCTCAATAGTTGATAGAATGTGATTAAGGATTTATTAGCTAAAACCAAGTCCAAAGCTTTGACATTTCTCCCAAATCCCAAAGTTGTGATTAAAATGACGCGATACGTTAAACGAAGCGGCTGCGTACGAGTAGGAGGTACGTAGAAGCAATTCCTTTTATAATTGATCGCTGCGGCCGACTCGCCATTTGTATTGGATCTGCACATTTGTGTCTCTGAGTGGAATATGCTCCGCTATGAGCCAAGTGAAATTACCAAATTAATGGATTATTATTATTTGGTATCTTTTCAAATGTGACGACCTCATACAGGTATCAGGATGCGCTGGATAGGTACAGGCACAGAATACATAATAGTAGCAACAGAAATTGCACTCCTTTGTGTAGGATCAGATGCCGGCATTTTAACGGTAATAATAATAATGCAAAATATCCAACGCACATGGTGCATTCGAAATCGCACCTTACTACTACGCTCACAAGAGCGCAATTTTTTTGTGTTCAGAATTGATCTACCTCACAGCTCAAGCTTCAGGGTTGTATAAGCAAAGTAAAATAAATAAAAACTTAATTTTAAGAAGCATTTATTGTATTTACGATTGGTAAACTTTAATCTAGTGGTGTTTGTATAATCGTACCATCTCTAAAGTACCTATTAGTAAACTTCAGTGTTGCGATAATTCGAAATTGGACAAACAGTTTTAAAAGGTGTAGTGTCGGAAAATAGACACGGTGAAGTAAAGTTAATGTTTTATTAGCTAAAATAATTTTTTTGCTACAGTTTTTTGTTATTAAGTATTTCAAAATTATTTAAAAAGTGTAGGTAGTTTTTTTTATTATTTAAATCACTACAGTTAATTATTATTCCTAAATATTACGATTTTCCATTAAAGAAGAATAACAGTGCTGTTGGAACAATAAACCTTGATTGCGACGATGATCGACCGAGCGTGTATAGAAATACGCGTGTGCTCACCGGCGCGTGGCGGCCCTGACTGATTTGCAACTTGAAGTTGTCGCGCGCTGTAGGTAATTATCTCGGCCGGAATAGGCAAGTACGGAGGCCTGGTACAGGCCGCTACCAACCGGGCGATGTGGAAATCATAGGGGGATGCCTATGGTTAGCAGTGGACGAAATGATGATGGTCTATTCTAATCGTGCAAAATCATGGCACAGGAGCCAAGTGAATGTTACCGAACGGAAAATTACTTTTTTAATACAACGGGTAAGCTCTAATGGCCTGTGACCAAGATTTCTCTGGAATCCAGAGCCGTAAAGGAAAGTACTTAATGGCTGTCTTAGCTCTAACTACCGAAAAATTATGAGCGATTGTTACTTCATCGGTTTTTAAACTCGCTTGGTAAGACCGCCCTAAGATATCGCATCAAAAATAAAGTTCAAAAGGAGCTAGGAGTTGAAATAAACAGTCGCAAGTAGAACCCACCTCCCAACCGCGTCTGGAGGCGACCGCAACTAAACTCAAATTAATTGCGGACTCAATACTCTCGCTCGACGCTAAGATATCGCCGCACCTAACGAGGTGGGAACTGCCTCGTGGATACTCTTTTACCGCTTTATTCTTAGACACAGTAGGTATGTTTTATTATTATTTATTTTCTCAATAAAAACGAAGGCTAGAGTGGACTGAATAATCTTGCCCGACGCTATATCGTCGCACCTAACGAGGAGGAAACTGCCTCGTGGATACTCTTTTACCGCTTTAACACGGAATTAGTCTTTATTCTTAGATATAGTATGTATTATTTATATTGTAACAAAAACGGAGGCTATTCTTAGTTAAATATTTTTAATATTTAATCCAAGGCTAGAGTGCGTGGACTGAATACTCTCGGTCGACCCTAAGATATTGCTGCGCCTAACGAGGTGGGAACTGCCTCGTGGATACTCTTTAACGCTTTAACACGGAATTAGTCTTTATTCTTAGATATAGTATGTATTATTTATTTTCTAAAAAATGAAGGCTAGAGTAGACTGAACACTCTCGCTCGACGCTAAGATATCGCCGCGACTAACGAGGTGGGAAATGCCTCGTGGATACTCTTTCACAGAATTAAAACTTAATAAGTGTTTATTGTTATAAATACTATCACTGACTATTTTCTAAAGAAAAGAAAATCTATCAGCTAAGTCTACAGCATAACGTAAGTCCCGTTTTTGAGTCCCAGTGTTTTGATTCCCGGTTTAGTTGGTGGGATTGCTAGTTCTAAGTCTGTCTGGCTAGCTACCACCCTAAGTCTTTTACATATACAATAAGCCGTGCTTACTGTGCAACTGCCGAAACAAAACTGTTTTTTTTTTTCAGTTAGAGGTAAGATAGCCAGTTCCTCTGTGGTTGAGGGTTCCAGGTGAAGCTCGTTTCCGCCTTCGGCCTGATCGTCAGGTGATTTTCAGTACATCACGCGTTGTGGGTAAAAAATGTACCACCAAAGTTTTATCGGTTTTTTTTTACAAAAAATATCTGCTTTTTCTTCCTAGGTAATAAGGCTTCGAGCCCAAAGAGATAGGAATTAACTTGCCCTACTTTTTAAAGCTTTACCACGTAATTAGT